AGAGGGAGTCTTTTCCAGGCCTAAGGGACAATCACTGGAAAAGGACAGAAGGAATAGCCAGAGTGACAAGTGCTGGGAACAGCTCAGCTGGCAGCTCTGTTCAGTCAGAAGATAGAATATGTGACGGGGAGCAGTGGGCAGGTAGGTTAGAGCCAGATGACCCAGGGCCTAATATGCTAGGATGCACTTGTATTTGGGGAAGAGGGGGCCTCTGAGTGTTTATGAATAGAAAAGTGATCTAGTCAGACTATGTGCCTGAGACCATGTTGCCCAGCAGTCCTGGCAAAAGGTAACAAAGGACTAAACTTCACAGGAAGTGGGAAGAAGGGGTAGATACTAGAGCTGTGGAGGGCTGGCACTGATTAAACCTGGCAAATGACTGGATGTTACGGGAGGGAAGAATCAAGGATGCCTCAAAGGTATGAACCTTAGTGTGGTGCCCTCCACAGCAAGAGAGAGGGCCTACCTCACAGGAGTGGTGTGGACCAGATGAGAAAATTGGAAATTGCATTGCCAACCATAAAGTGCTATACAAACATCAGTTATTATCAGTATGTCAAAAAGTCTCCAGATAAGAGGTATTCCTCTTTCACAGAGTGATAGTCTTTGAAAACTGTGAGTATATAAAAAATGAGACTATCCCTTCACAAAATGTAATATAAAAATGAGTTTCTGTGCCTCTGACCCTTCTTGTTTTCTTTCCTACCATAAAGAATTACAATTATATGCCAGGTAGACAGGTGGTTACATTAGCATTTCAGGTGCTGAGATGCCTTATGGGGACAAAAGAAGCCCAATTTATAGTAGCAACACCGTATATGTATACATGTTTTGTTTTGTTTTGTTTTTTACTTTTTAAAGTGCTTTCATATTACCTGATTTAAAAGACTAATCTTCATATTACCAATATAAAGTTCAAAAATATCCTTGAGAATACAACAAATTAATTGTAATAGAACCAAATCATTACCAACACAAGTTTTGCCTGACCTCCCAGATATAACATTAACATTTTAAAATAATGTTTTTTGATAGATGCCATATTGAATACTCAATCTCTAAACTAGTGCAGAACTATACAATGTAAATGCAAAGAAGAAAAAAATGAACCGAGATGTTATATATGAAGCTGGTCAGACTTGGGTTGATGTGTTGGTTTTTCCTGAACTGTTTTTTCTTTTTCTTTTTTTATTCTTTGGCTCATGGAGTAGGGGAAGAGGTGGGGATATATGTATATAAGAAAGGAAGGTAACACAAAAACAAAAGATAGCAACACAAAACTTCAAATTATAAAGATGTCTATGCATACCCATGATCTGCCTCACCTGGCACCACGTTTTCATCAGCCCACTGAAAGAAGCCACACTGCTGCTCCCTCGGTTTTGAGCATGTGTGGAACTGCCGTCCCTTGTTAGGCCCCTCCTTTTGTACTGTCCGTTTGATGGCAGGTTGGTTGCACATACATGTGGCACTGCTGCTACTACTGCCATGGTTTCCAAACCCATCTTGCCTTCCTCCAAAATTTGTGGAATTCCCTTGGAAATGACTAAGAGTCCTTGTTCTTGAGAAAGAGGCCATTTCTGTTCCCTGCTGACTATCGGCCCACAGGAAGAAGTTGCAACTCCCCGTGTTGCACTTGTAGAAGTGTCTGCCCTGATTGGGCCCTTCTTTACGGACAGTGAGCAAGAGGGCTTCTTGGCCACAGTTACACATCACTGTGTTGTGACTCTCACTGGTAGCTGCGGAGGGCACAAGTATCCCGGCTGAGGGGTTAAGGGGTCCGGTTTGTCGTTCTGTGGAAGAGATGGAGTAACTGCCCTGGTTGTTTCCCATTCTGTTCAGGGACTGGTTAGCCTGTAAATGGTTGGTAGGCCGGCCTGCTGGCTGTGAAGCTCTGGAAGGGCCATTGGAAGATCTTAGGTCCAGGATCTGCATCAGGGTCTCATCACAACCTCCAATGCAGCCAACAAACTCCAGAGGCATGGTGGGAGGGACACTTCCTCTCTTGAATTTTAATTTCAACCTATTGGTTCCAAAAGAAAAGAAAAATCAAAACCAGGATACAGATTATCTTGCTTAATTAAGGAGAGATGTTAACTTTAAATATCTCCTCATTTTTTCTTTATCACTTTTTCCACCACTCAGCATATAATAAACATACCTATGTCAACTGGAACTGGTCATAGGTAGTAATTCTTATCCTTTCCAGGAGACCAAAGAGACTGCTAAGTGTTTCTGCAATTCCTAAATTGCAAATTTGAACTCATTTGCAAATCAAATCAGCCTAATCATCCAAATTCAAAAGTTTCAATTTTCCATGCTATAGCCTTGACATTTTTTAAAAGACATGACTGTATGAAAGTCTGATAAAAAATAAATGAGTAGCAAACTATTCTTGGAAATACACAAAAAAAAATCTGGGAGAAAGAGTAAGAGAATGTTACCATATTAAGGGAAGCCAAGAGATTAAGATAATTGTTCCTTATTCAACACCCCAACTCCTGGTAGTGTTAAGACTTAATTTACCAAGGCTAGGTGTCTACTCCTTTGGAGAAAGTCCTGATAGAAATGAATGAAAGGGCCTAGGACCAGGAACGGGCCTTCTGATAATCTCTACTTGATTAAAATTAAGAGCAATCCGATTAGCTACATTGTCATTCCAGTAGAAAAGAAAGAAAAAAAAATATAAGCTTCTTTTGGGGGTACTCCTGATCTTTACTTCCTCAGACTGACCTGTAAACAGGATGTGGTTTGCAGACTGGACACACACTGTCATCCTTACTGGCTTCTAGAACGGAATCTGGAAACCATATAGCTTTTCGGCAGTCTGGATAGCCCATGCAGCTGAGGTAGAACCTGTGGAATAAAGTCAATCTGGTTATCTGAAAAGATCCTGATAATCTTGAAACTAGAGTCAAACATCTAGAAATTTGTCATCCATCAGCAACCTAAGTTTTCCCCAATTAACAACAATAGCTGATTATTCTGAAGAGAGAAAGCTTAATGGGGTACACAGGGACTAATCTTGAAATCTAATAATAATATGTAATAAACCTATTTCTCATGTATAGGCAAAATGAAATAGCTTGGTACTGATATTAGTATGTAAAACTTCTGTGACACCTCTTAGTCACAAAAACTCAAGCTTTACTTAGATTAGTGACCACATGACTAAATTGACTATTTCTTTAAAGTTTGCCTTAGTAGATATTTTTACCAGAAAAAGCAAAAATAATTTAAAGGGCAAATTCTGATTCTAATATAAACTTACTTAAATAATCAATCACTGACTAATCCAAGTTACCAGTCCCAATCCCCTCAATGAAGCCAGCATTTCTTCTGTCTCTAGTGCAGGAGCATTCGTATTCAGCCCTCTAACTGCAGGTATAGTCCAGGATTCTGTCCTGGCCCTCTTCTCTTTTCTCTCTAAACTCTTTCACTTGGTCACATCATCAGCTCCCATGGTTTACTTATCCTCTCTATGTTGACGACTCTCAGATTTATCTATGACTGGCCTAAGTTTCTCTTCTACATTCCAGTCCAGCATCACCAGCTGCCTATAGGACATTTCCCACCAGATGTCCCCAGGGATCTCACACTCAACACATCCAAGAAACTTTATTATCTAAATGCCTAAATCCCTAAAGCCATCTCTTCAGATCTTTCCTATTTTTGTAGAAGGTACAATTATCCTTCGAGTCACACAGATGTGAAACATCAGAATCATCCTCAATGCTCCACTCCCCCTCACTCCACATATCCATCCCGTTGCCAGTTCTTGTTGATTTGTTCTCCACCACATCTCTCCAGTCCTCCTTCTCTCCCCTCACATGGCCCCCCATTATAGTTCAGGTCTTCATTACCTCTTACCAGGAACTACTGCATAGCTTTCACATGGCTGCCAAAGTGACTGTTCTAAAGCATGAGTCTGACCATGTAATTCCCCTGTGCATTAAATTCCAGCAGTTCCCTATTACCTCTGGATTAAATATAAGTCCCTTTGGCATGTAAAGCCTTCCATAACCTGGCTTCATCTTACCTTTCCAGCCTTAAACATTAATGCTCTTTATACATTCGTCAGCAGCTCAGTCACACTGGCCTTCCTGTGGCTCTTGACACACAACAGTTCCTCCCTCTCCTGTTTCTGTGCCTTCAAAGAAGCTGTCCCCCACTCCTGGAATGAATTTCCTCGTCATGTTGCTTCTAAGAATCATTAGCTTTCTTCAGAGCTCAGTTCAAGCACCAGCTCCTATTGAAACCTTTCCTGTTTCCCCCAAGCTACTAATGCCCTCACTCAAAATCACCTTGTTTTTAATGGTATATATTTTGTATTATTTATATATGCACATGTTATCTCCTCAAACAGAAGGTAAGTTCCTCCAGGGGAAGGGTTGCTTCACTTTTTCCTTCTCTGGTGCCTAGCACATAGTAGGTGTTTAATAAGTGCTTACTGTTTGACTCCTTCTCTCTCTCTGGAGATGGAGAGAGTTACAGGCAAAGGCAAATATTCTCTCCCCTTGCATTACCAAGCAGCCTGCCTTTTAACTGTCTATGTGTCCAAAGCCAAATGGTCTCTCTGATTCAAATTCTGAACCTGCAGGTGAACTTGATCAAAATTAAAGCCTACTGAATGAAACACATTACTCTGAACATTCACAGAAGTCAACAAAGCCTTCTGTAGCTCATCAACCTATTCAAATACTCCTGGTAGACCTCCTATGTTTAGAATGAAATGACAAGTATGGAGATCTCTCAAAAACATGAAATAAACTGATATAGTAAGTGCTTAAATACCACAAGTGGAAACTTCTAGACAGACAGAACGTCAGAGAGAACACACCCGCCATTCTTCTTCTTCTTGAGCACCATGTCTTTGTTACATTGTGGACATTTCTTGATAGTTGCTGGCATTGCTGGGTAGATTTCTTCTTGGCCAACCGCTGCAGCCATTTCTCCAAAATACTGAGACAATGCTTCATCCAACCTACAGCGAAGACACACAGGCACATGCATCAGCCTGCTTACTCTGCGGGTGTTTTCACAGTTGGGTATACACAAGACACATACCTATCATTCCTGACCACTGAACCAATCCAGTTACATTTGTCATAGAAAAGGGGCTGCAAGTCAGCGGTGAGCTGACGGAATAGCTCCTGACGGCTCTTTACTCTGGTTCCCAGCAGGGGCGCAGTTAGAGGCAGAGGGGACAGTGGCGCCACCTTCCACCACCATTCAACCCCTGGTGAGAACCAGGGTATCTGGGAGAAGCAGACATGCCACAAATGTGCCAAGCACAAACTCTAAAAAGTAAACGAGATCATTTGGGTTTTCAGTCAAATCAGGTCCCGTGCTTACTTTCAAAATCAGAGCAGGGGAAAACAAGATGTGGCTTCCAATCAAAAGCAATACAAGCTTCTCATTAATGAGCAGCTAAAAAACAAACAGAACACTTGCCCAAACTAAGACTAAGAGCCCAATTAAAAACATTTTTGGGGTGAAGGGACGGATTATTTTTTAAAATTTATTTTTATTCTGAACTTAGCAAGGAGACTATTTTGAAGGACTGCATTGTCTGCAATTCAAGGCAGAGTTAAGATGATCATAACAAATGCCATTCAAGGTTCAGCTAATGGGTCCCTTTCTATACAAAGCCTTTTCTGACTCCCCACCCCAAATTTATCGTTGTTTAGTTGTTTCAGTCGTGTCCAATTCTTTATGACCTCATATGGGGTTTTACTGGCAAAGATATTGGTTTGCCATTTCCTTCTCCAGTTCATTTGACCCATGAGGAAACTGAGGCAAAAAGAGTTGACTTCCCCAGGTCACATAGCTAGTGTCTGAGACAGAATTTGAACTCAAGTCTCTCTGAGTCCAGGCCCAGCACTCCAACCATCCAACCAACCACCCACCCACCCACCATTCCCACCCCCCAAGTGCAAATTACTCTGTATTTACTTTGTATACATTATGCACTGACTTTTCTGGGTACGTATTATTTGAACGTGTAAAGGTCCTTGAAACTAAGGCCTTTTTCATTTCTTGCCTTTATATCCCCAGCACCCAACATAGTGCCCTGCACATAGATGGCATTGAAAAGTCTATTAAATGATTGAATATAGTACTTTTAAAATTTGCTAAGTGCCTTACAAATATCTTACTTGAGCTTTACAGTAATCCTGTGAAGCAGGTACTACCAGTGTTCCTATCTCTACTTTACAGATGGAATAACAGAGGTGCGGATAAGTTAAGCGACTTGCCCATGGTCAATCTGCTAGTAAATGCTGGCAGTGGGGTTTGAACCTAAGTCTTTCCAACTCTAAGCCTACCACTTTGTATATGACACTAAGTTGAGTGAAACTTCTGCTTAATTTTTGAATCTGATCTGTATACAAAACATTTTCAGACAGATACTGGTGCCAAAACATGAGAAACATTCAAAGCCAAAGCATCAAGGGAAGGGGCCCCACCCTTAGGCCATTCACCATAAGACATGGGTTGGTGGGGAAGGAGAAGCTAACCAAAATGTCAGCAATGCCCAGCAATTACCCAGTCCACTTCTCTGCTGACTCACTCCTGCTGTAGCCTCCAATACTCATTTTAGATAAGAACAGGAAGAAAATTTATCCTACAATTCCCTCAAAGGACCTCAAGTAACAGTTCTTGGGCTGGGAAAGTCTCATTGGTACTCACTTGTTGGCATGGGCCACAGCTTCGATGAAAACTTGCTTATATTTCTGGATCTGCTGTCTCAGGACGACATGCTTATCCTTTTTCCCCTCGCAAATAAGTTTCAGGTCAGCTTCTAGCTCAGCCCGGAGGTCAGGCTTAGACATCTCATAGCCCATGGAATCATAACCTGCCAAAGGAAAGACTACCATTAGTAAACCCAACATGGCTCCTCCATGGGAGTACAACGCTACCTGCCACTTTGTCTGAGGAAGAGAGGACTCTGAGCTTACCTTCCACCAGCCCCATGCCCAAATGTCCTGGGAGGAATCGTTTATCAGGGGTTAGTCCCACGTACATCCGTGATTTGATGGTCTCGATATGCTCCGCATGAGTCGCATCCGTCCCTGGAAACAATTTCAGTCACTTCGGGAGTACAGACAAAACCCCACATTAACAATCTATTAGAAGTGAACTACATTTAGTTTCTGTCAGACTCAAGAGGATCAGCAACAATGGTTTTTTGAAAATATGTTGACCTTTTTGAATGTCCAACTTTTGAGGGTACTTGGGGAAAGAAATGAACGATCATTTTTACTAAGCATTTACTATGAGCCAGGCATCGTACTAAGCATTTTACAAATATCTCATTTGGTCCTCACAGCTGTCTGTGAGATAGGTGCTATTTTATCCCCATTTTACAGATGAGGAAACCAAGGCAGAGAGAGGTTAAGTGACTTCCCTAGGGTCACACAGCTAGTTGGAGAACATCTGAACTCATGTCTTCCCAAGTTCAGGCCCAGTGCTCTATACACTGCATTACCTAGCTGCCTCTTGGTGACTAATTGCTTGTGATCAATCACAAGCCAGTGGTGTAGACAATAACATAAGCAACTGACCAAAATAAATAATCTTTGTTGCCACGATGACAATGAAGTATTTGACAAATATAGTTGCTTTATGTGGCCTCATGGCTCAGATTAATGCAAAGACCTGGATTTGGAATTTCCAGGAAATTGGTACTCGGGAAGCTGGTACACACAAGAGCTTTATTTTTATGTGGTGTAGCAAGAAGGCAAAAACAAAAAACAAAACAAAACAAAACAAAAAACACACACACAAACATATTATATGGCAATATAAACAGACAGGTTCATCCCCATGGATACAAGAAATTCACCCATTGTGAGGGAGAGGGACTTGTGTCACAGACAAAACACACTCAAAGTTGGGCTTCAAGCAGGAAGTTATATACCCTAAAAACAAGCTTGATGGAGAAGAGGTAAGAGGTGCCAGACATGGCAGGGGGCATTCCTAATCAGACCAAGATGTGGTGGGAAGTTCTCAGGGTAACTAATTGATCCCAGACTTGGGTAGAGGGAGTTTCTTTGTGGACCAAAAATTGGGAGAGGGTTTGACTAGGCTATCTGAGGCAGCAGGAAAGGAATGACTCAGGCCACTGTAGTCAGCACCAAGTTTTATCCAATCAGAAGCTACAAGCATTAACTGCTTGACACAAGGCCAAACAGTGGAAAAATACAAAATTGTCTGCCACTGCCTATATGCTTTATGGGCACTGAGACTGCTTAGCCAAAGTGACTCCATATTGGAGTCCTATCATTACAACATCAAACAATATAAATATTACAGTTACCACAACAGTGAAGCTCTTATTTTGAAAAGTTTATGATTCCAGGCTTTTTACAAAATGCTAACAAAGGAAATATTCCATTGCAGCCAAACATCTGATCACCCTTTGGCTAAAGGAAATGCCCACTCATAATAAAGTTCCCTGACGTGACAACCCAAGGATTCCTGACCAATGCCGTGTTTCTCCATGAGGGCGATAAGATCTGCTTCTGTGAGGAGTTGGGGCGGGCTGGTCTCACCATCCACCATTTCTATGGTGGTTGGCTGGAAGCAGGAGCCTTTCTCATAGATGGGAATGACCTGAAAAAGCAACAGCCTCTAGTCAAATACTTCTTTAGTCATGTTAATATAAAATGCAATTTCAAAACCAAAGAAAGTCTACTGCCCTGTGCCACACCCCTAGGGATCAGAGAGGTTCATAAAGAGTCAGAATAATCAATACTGGGGAACAACATGCACAACCTGCACAAAAGAGTCTTCACAGGGGTTGAGAAGAGAGATAATTTAAAATGTAAAACTCCACTAGCTATTAAACGCATCTAAATCAAAATAATTTTAAAACTACTACTGCACACCTGTTAAGCTGTCAAAGATAAATTAAAATCATTAAAATCTAACGTTCGGTCAACCAACACACAGTCTTAAAGTCTCTGTTACGTGTCAAACTGTGTGCTAGGCTGGGAGAATAAACACAAAAATGGGAGTCCTTGTTCTCAAGCTTATATTCTCTTGAGTAAAACATGTACATATATATATGTTTACAAATTCACAAATATATGGAAAATATATACAAAATAAATACAATTAATTTAAGGGTGGGGCTGCTAGTAGCTGAGAAAATCAATAAAGACCTCATGTTTTTTGTTTTTTAGGCAATTAGGGGTAAGTGACTTTGCCCAGGGCACACTGCTAGTAAGTGTCAAGTGTTTGGTTTGAGATTTGAACGCAGGTCCTCCTGACTTCAGGGCAGGTGCTCTATCCAGTGCGCCACCTAGCTGTCCTTTTTTTTTCTTCTTGTTGTCAAGTTTTGTTTTTTTTTTGGTGAGGCAATTGGGGTTAAGTGACTTGCCCAGGGTCACACAGCTAGTAAGTGTCATGTGTCTGAGACCTGATTTGAACTCAGGTCCTCCTGACTCCAAGGCCAGAGCTTTATCCACTGTGCCACCTAGCTGCCCCTAGAAAGGCCTCATGTTGAAGGTAGGGCTTATACTGAGCTCAAAGTAACTAGAGATCATGGGGGGTGGAAGGAAGGGACTCAATATGGAGCAAAAAGATGGGAGTGTGGTCCATGAAAAATAACAAGGCCAGTAGTGAGTAATAAAGCTTGAAAAGTAGATTGGAATCAGGTTAAGAAGGGCTTTAAATGCCAAACAAATAAATGTGCATTTGATCCTAGAGGCAATAGGGAGCCACTGGCTCTTCTGAGTAGGGGACATACATGTCAAACCTATGCTTGAGAAAAATCACTTTGGCAGCTAGAAACTGGAATGGGGAGGAGAGAGATTTGAAGCAGAAGTCTGCTTGCAATAGCACAGTAGTACAGTCAATGAGGGGCTGACCTCTTGTGGTGGCCACATGAGGAGAAAGAAGGGGAGAGTTGCTGTGGAGACAGAATCAACAAGAATCCAAACAAATGACGGGATATATGGTACAAGGGGAAGTAGAAGTTGAGGCTGACAGTGGTTGTGTTTTGAACATGTGGAGTATGAGATACCTGCAGAAACTCCAGTGGGAAATGTTGCACAGGTAGCTGGTGATGTAAGACTGGAGTTCAGAGATAGACCAGGGCTGGATACCCAGATCAGAGAGTCATCTGCACGGAGATGATAACTGAATCCATGGGAGCTGATAAGGTCACCAAGTGAAAGTATATCAAGAGTACATGCCAACAAAGGAAATACTCCACCATGGGCAAACATATGATCCCCCTCTGGCTCAGGACAGAAACCCGTATATTACCCATAGTTACAGGGGAGAATGTAGGTGGTGATCCAGCAAAGTATACTAAAAAAGGAAAATCAGATGGGTAAAGCAGAACCAAGAGAGAATAGTCACAATGTCTATTCCTTCAGAGAGGTTAAGAAGTATGAGGACAGGGGGCAGCTAGGTGGTGTAGTGGATAGAGCACTAGCCCTGAAATCAGGAGGACCCAAGTTCAAATCTGGCCTCAGACCAAGCACTTGGCACTTACTAGCTGTGTGACCCCGGGCGAGTCATTTAACCCCAATTGCCAAAAAAAAAAAAAAAAAAGTATGAGAATGAAAAAAAGGCACTGGATTTAGCAATTAACAAATCACTGGTAACCTTGGAAAGAACGGTTTCAACAGTTGCATAAGCCTAACTGCAAGGAATTAAAGAATGAAAGAGTATAGACAACTCCTTCTAAGAGTTTGGCTGTGAAAGGGCAAAGTAGTGGAAAGTATCTTTAGGGGAAAAATAGTCAAGTGAGGGTTTGATTTTTTTTTCCCCATGGATGCAGGGGCCAATAGACAAGGAAGGCTTGAGTTGGGGAGGCTAACTCCTGAAGCAACCTGGCTGAGGAGACAGGATCAAGAGTACAAGTAAAGGAGGTGGCCTTGTCGAGAAGGTCCTCCTATGCATCAGAGACTGTAGTAAAAGAGGAGAGGGGAAGCGGGGATGATGTCAAGCAGTTTTGAGATGTAGGGGATGTAGAGGAAAGGAAGAGAGCTCATGGAAAGAATGGCTTATATTTTCTCAGTAAATTGTGAAGTGAAGACCTTTGCTAAGAGGGTGAGGGGAGTAGGTGCTATAAAAGACTTGGAGAAGAGAATGTGTGTAAGAGCCACAGTGGGGAGTGTGACAGAGAATCAATTAGGGAAGAGTAAAAAGATTGCCTGCTGTATCGAGAGACTTGCTGGGAGAAGAAACAAATGCGTAGTGTCCCACTACTAATTTTTGTTATTTACATAACCACTGTCCAGCTTTCATAATAAGTAAGAGCTAAGGAGACAGATGGTAGGGGTAATCCAGGGTTAAGGCTTGGCAAGGAATATGGAGCAACTGGACAACAGGGCAATGGATCTAAGAGTAGAAAACTACAATTGTAAAAAGCTTAAGTCAAGTTGAGGAAGGGAAGAAAATGAATCCAGAGGAGAGGAGGATGACATAGGAGAGAACCACACAGAGGGAAGCAGAAGTCACAGTGAAGAGAAAAAATCAGTTGAAGAAGAGTGAGGCATATGGGAAGATGGAAAGATAGGAGGTTATAGTCAGATAGGAAGAATTCTAGAATTACTGGTCATAGAATGTCCCTGAGGACAGAAATGTTTTCGTTTTTGTCTTTGTAGCTCTAGCCTTTAGTACAACGTGTGGTACGTGGTAGGTACTTAAACTGATTAGAAATGAAATGCTTGTGGGTGACGGTGAAGTGAAGGGGTACGACTGTCCTGGTGTGTGGCTGAAGTGGAGGTGAGCAGGAGGTCTTCGGAGGTGAAGGGAGCCCAAGATGGGGAGCGCAGCAGCAACAGACTCATCAGTACAACGCTGGTAACCGTAAGAGGGCTTAGTATTACCAGAGAGAACTCTAGCAACACGTATTAAGACCTATAAAATTGTCCAATGTTTTTGTCCAGGTTATTCCGTTTTGATGAACCCTTCCCCCACTACCACCCCAAGGAAATCACACAAGAGATAAAAAGGTAATTTGTACAAAGATGTTCAAAACGGCGCTATTTATGGAAATGTAAAATCTAGATCCAAACTGAATAACAAACAATTAGAAAATCAACAAACAAACTATGCTATATTAAAGTGATGGAGTAATACTGAGTTACTGAAAACCAATGTGTGAAAAATGCTAATATGCAGAAGTGATTAGAGGCATACTCTGTATGAAGCCTGGGTCAACCAACCTGATTTTTAAGTAGAACTGTTAATACATCACAACCCTGCTATGTTATTTGGCTAATCCCCCATTTATAATATTTATTGTTCCTATGAAATTATTGCCTGAGACATTTTTTTTGCCTAACATTATGTTTTTCAAGAACCAATATCAACAGAAAGGGGTATACAAGGTATTTAAAATAGTAAATGGGAAAAAATTAAGACATAAAATGATATGTACACATAGATCACAACTATGTAAAAAGATGTATATATATACTTTAACAAAGACTGGAAAAAGGATGTGTAGATAGGATGGTATAATCAAACGCACCAAATTTAAAATCTGAAGCCCTGTAGTCAAGTCCCAATTCTGACATTTCTTAATTAAGTTAATCGGAGCAACTCATTTTACCTGCTGGAGCAACAAACATATGATACTTACCCTATCCACTTTTTAGGGCTCTGAAGAATATGGTCTTAACAACCTTCAAGTGTTATTATTATTGAGCTGCATATTGATTGAGTTTTACCTCTACAGGGAAGGGGAGAGTAAATTCATGTTGTGTTTGGTTTCTTTTTTAAAGAAACAACCTGGCTTTCACCTAGGGCTAACTTCCCTCAAAACACAATTGAAAATGCAAACGTTATATATAAAAAATTGACTTCCTTAGAGTTAATGAATGTCTTTGTTATTCAAACCCACCTTGTCACTCCATTTATCATATATATAAACATCCAGATAGTTTCTGGCCAGAATCATGAGACCATGAGCAACGAAGCGCTCTTGAGCAATATCAATCTCTACAGTGGTTTCTTGTCCCTGAGCATCCTGAGAGCAACAGGCCAGGAAATGGCGAACAATAAACTCATACAGTCGTTGTTCATTCCCCTAATAAGAAAAGAAAATTTTTTAAAATGGGGGGGGCAGCATGTCAATTAAAATTCACCCCTTCTCCACTTTTCAATTAAAAATTCTGAAAGCATTTGGTACCACATTCCCTATAACACTGTGTACAAATGCGGAAAAAAACAAAATGGAATTTCCAGATGTCTAAAATTTTAGATTACTTTAGAATGATACTAATCAACATAAGAGAGTCATGAAAAGAAAGTGAGTAAATCAACCTAAAATAATAATAACGGGAAGTAGTCTTATTTCGTCTATGTTTTGAGGGATTAATTTAAAAAGGAAAACAAGATATAATTCAGTTCATTTTACTAACAGTCATAATACATATATACACATATCTCACTTGTTAAAAGAAATATAACACAACTGGACTTGAAAAATGTTTTCATTTCCCCAAAATGACTAAGCTAACATTGGTTACTGTGCATTATTTTTTTTTGAAGGGGGAGGGTGGGGCAAGGCAATTGGGGTTAAGTGATTTGCCCAGAGTCACACAGCTAATAAGTGTTATGTGTCTGAGGTCAAATTTGAACTTATGTCCTCCCAACTCCAGGGCCAGTACTCTATCCACTGAACCACCTAGCTGTCCCAGTTACTGTGCATCATTAATCAATCACTTTATAAACTATTTACCAAGTATCTATGAAATCAGCAGTATGCTAGACCATAGCAGGAGCTGCAGAATAAATACAGGTCAACATACATACTTGAATAGGCAAAAGAAAAGAAGGAAGCAGGAAGCAGAGAGATGGAGGGTACAAGCTGGTGGACAAAAAAAGAGACCAGAGGATATATATCTTGAGATGTAACAGGAAATAAGGTTGGAAAAGTGATATAAGTGAGCCAAGTTAAGTCACCAAGCATTTTTTAAGTGCTCACAATGGGCCCTGCACTGTGCTAGGGATGGGCAGAAAAAAACGATTTGATGCAGCTGGCAACATGGACAATCATAGCCTTCAATTCTTTCTTCCTGTTTAAAAAAATTATTTCAGAGTTGAAGGACCCACAGAGAAAATGTTAATGTGGGGCAGCTATGTGGCGCAGTGGATAGAGCACCGGTCCTAGAGTCAGGAGGAGCTGAGTTCAAATCTGGCCTCAGCCACTTGATACTTAACTAGCTGTGTGACCCTGGACATGTCACTTAACCCATTGCCTAGCAAAAAAAAAAAAAAAAAAAAAAAAAAAAAAAAAA